ATAGCTTTTATGCATTGTATGCCCATGGCCGTTCTTCAGGATGAACAACGATAACCACTGTATAACGGCGGCAGTTGCGGGGCAGCTATGTTCAACAACCGTTTTGACAAGGGATTTGGTAGCAAAGAGGTGCCCAAAGAACGTTTAACTGGTTGCTTTTGAATACACTATCCGTTAACTGCGGAGTCAGCTTGATGATGGCTGCTGCCGCGGATTCGTCAGAACATCAAGGGATGTCAGCGGCCGTTGGGTCGAACCACTCTCCATACGCCTCGTTTCCGCAGCTTGCGGAGGCTGTCGGGGCGTCTTTCCCCACATCTGCCATCTCTAAGTCGTCGAGGAAAGGGCGACTTCGTCGCAACCGTTTACGGGACAGTTCTTGGGGGCTTGTGATCCTGTCGGCGGTGGCGTCGATTGCGGCAGTTGTGGTGTTAATATCCATATGCAGTAAAGCGCAGATGAGGAACAATGCCTTCCACTCTCACTCCCGCTTGCTGTCTGCTGGCGGGGGATCCAAACGAGGATTTGACCGCGTGTGTGACACGACGGCGGATGAGGCAGACGCTTGGCTGGATTCAGACGGTGAAGATACTGACTCGGAGGAGCCAGTAGAGAAGAAACCCCGCCTCCCGGAAGATGCAGGGGAGGAGGACGGATCTTCGCAAGTAGTTGAGGGTCTTCATGGCGCAGGTGGACTTGCCGGTTCCACAGCAGGACCCCAAGCTCAGGGGACCCCGCAGGACCATTCCTCGCATGAGCCTTCTTCAAAAAGTTCTTCCTCGGTTGCGTCTTCGGGGTGGACACTTGACGAGTTAGGTGCCGCCGCTGGACTGCTTCAGCTGGGATTAGCGCCTGTTTACACGGTTCATGTGGGTCAAGTTGTTGGAAAGTCCGGCAGAGTAATTTACTTACGAAGAAGCGGGCTAGGCTCTGAATCGCAGGCCCAGGCAAGTGTGGAGTCGACAGCAAAGACTGTTACGCTTGGTATCTTCGCAGGTTCACCTCGAGCTGCAACCAAACCTCTGGTTGTACCTGGAGCTTTAGCTGCAGCTGGGCCTGCAGCTGGACCTGTAGCTGGACCTACAGCTGGGCCTGCAGCTGAACCTGCACCTGGGCCTGCACGTGGTCAAACTACATTACCTGGGACTTCACAAGGGACAGGGCATGCACCTCGTGTTGAGCATCCTTACTTCCGCTTGCCAACGGTAGAAGCACCACGTGGCACTGTAACATTTACGCCCCAAAGAGCTATGCTTCTCCGCTTGGCCCCCCAAAGACCAAACACATTATTATGTGAAGCGCACGATCTGCTTATGAAACCCCGCCTTTCAACCATTGAACTCAAGACTTTGGTGTCCACAACAGAAGAGTTGGTATCTCACTTATTAGCTTTCCAAAGACATGCCCTCCCAGTCACCCGCCCCTCACGCGCCGTTGCAATGCTGGGGGTTCGCTTCCTGATATTTGATATTGTCATCTCAACGTTAAATCTCCTAGGGCAACGCGCTGAAGGGGAATGGTGGGAACGTGTAACTGCGACCGTCCCGCACTTGTATGACAACCCATATCTACATGCCCCAGCAAGACACGAGACGCATTTCAACAGGGTACTCATCAGAGCCTTGATGAAGGCGTTGACCACACTAAAAAGGGGGGTGCGGGCGCCAAGAGAGGATACTATACTGCTAAAACGGCTTTTGTTCACTTCACTCAATTCCCCGCCGCGTTTCCGAAGCCAGCAGTTTGATCGTTGGAGACAAGACCTACATAAGCCCTAGGAGAAGGCACAATACAAAGGAAATATTTGCGGTGTCGACTGCATCGTGGGCGAGCAGTGGTCGGCACGACTTTTATCTGTTACGGGTGAGGAGCTGCATCTTCGCCGTCAGGTTCACATATTCCAACTGAGACACAGCCTCAGACCGCTCACGCCGCATGCCCCGGGGCGATCATTGCCGCCTCGATCTACGCAGGCAGTCAATCCTTCCAAGATATGTCCCCCATGCGGCTACATGAGGGATAGCTGTGGAAGAGCTTGGCAGAAATAAATTGATTTGAATGCTGCATCCTGCACGCGACCTCAGTCGCAAGCTGCTGCCTAGATGCCCATGCTTCTATTGCATGATTGCGAAGCATGCGAATGGTCAAGGACTGTGGGTTAGTGCATGAAATTGCCATTATCTATCTAGAACTTTACATTTCAACGTTCAGGATTACCACGTATGCGGACTGGACATGCGGGCAAACTGCGCCGGAGTTCTGAGGGATTCCGAATAGAGTCGCGTAAGTGGGTGAAGCGCAGCTTGGCTACTTTTGCCTGAAATCGAAATTAGCAGTCAACTATTTTTTCATTTACCCTTTCAGGTGCAACAAAGCTGCGCCACGATGGCGTTTTGCCTCACCTGAGGTAAAGTGCTTCATTCTTCCTCTTCCTGCTCAATCTATAGGCACTTCGTTCTTCAAATACCCTCGATGCAAAAGGCGGAGTTCAAGCTCGCCAACAAGTACTCCGCATGGAAGACATAATTATCCTGTGAGAAGACAGCGTTAGTCAGGGGTGGCGGCAGCATCAGAAGCAGCAGCCGAATGAAGCA